CTCCCATGCCAGACAGGTCAAAACTGAAGAGGCAGATAAAATGTGTCCATGGGCAGGATGGGCTCTCCAGCCTTCTGGGGATCATCGTGGGAGAAGGACAGCTCTAATTGCAAACCCAGGCAGATGGAACTCGCTTAGCCCTGTAAGGCCATCCATCCAAGAGAAGGATACTCTAATTAAACCCACGTCCTGAGGACCTCACTGTCACTGTCCAAGCTTGACTGGCCCTGGCAGATGAACCTCAGGAGTAAAGGATGGGACCAGTTCTGCGCAAGCTGAGCCTCACCTAAAAAATCCACTACGCAGGCTCGAGGGTTATACCCACACTTGTAAAGCCCTGCAGCGACAGGTGATAAAAGTGCATGGAAGCCGCAGACCCAACTCTGCATGCAGGCGGTTCAGGACATTGGTCGCCTGAATTGACTCCAGAGATGACAGTTTCATTCAGCAGCATCCTGAATGACCAAGCAGCCTTTTTCAAGGAGAGCACTGCTTGCTCCACATGGAGAGGGGCCTAGAAAAGGTGGCCTAACCAAATCGCATCTCCACCCTTCACCCAGTTGGTTAACCGCGGCCAACGGGCATCTTCTGTTGCGGTCAAATAAAGATTAAGAGTAAAAGGCATACAGCTACCTTCAAAGGTGTGTCCAAACTGACACTCGCATGCTGGAACATCGGAACCATGCTTGGTACTGCTGATAGTGGATGTCCTGAGCGTTGCTCCGCTCTAATTGCCCACAAACTGTCATGACTCAACATCGACATTGCTGCTCTCAGTGAAGTTGGTCTCCATGAGGAAGGCAGCCTTAGAGAACATGGTGCCAGTTATACACTCCACTGGTCAGGTAAACCCAGAACTGAAAGGCATCTCTCAGGAGTTGGCTTCATGATTAAAAACTCTGTTGCCTCTAAACTTAAAAACTTGCTGACAGGTCATTCTGATCGCATTATCTCTTTACACCTCCCACTGCACAACAAGCAACATGTTGTTGTTCTCTTCAGTATAAATGCCCCAACCCTCCAAGCTGACCCTGCCAAAAAAAGGTAGATTCTACACCAACCTGCACTGCCTTACCCAAAAAGGTAGATGATAGGATCATAATTCCTGGTGATTTCAACGCCAGAGTAGGAAAGAACTCTGAAGCCTGGAAAGGAGTACTAGGCAAGCATGGTGTTGGAAACTGCAACAATAATGGACGCCTTCTGCTAGAGTTCTGTGCGGAGCAGCAGCTCACCATCACCAACGCTGTCTTTCAGCAGAAAGATAGTCTGAAGACAACCTGGATGCATCCTAGATCCAAGCACTGGCACCTCATTGATTATCTCTTGGTCCGACAGAGAGATATCCACGATTTTCGTCACACCCATGTGATGCCTGGTGCAGAATGCCAAACAGATCATCGCCTTGTGCGCTGTAAACTTAACCTCCACCTTAAGTTCAGACCTGAAAGGGGCGATATTCCAAGGAGGAAATGTCAAGTTAACAGTCTTCAAACAGCTACAGTGAGGGACAGTTTCCAGGCAAATCTTCAAGCTAGAGTCAAAGATCATTCCATAGATCTCTCTCCCAAAGCACTTTGGCAACATATTAAGAATATCATCCTGCAGTCCTCTGAAGAATCCCTAGGGTTCTCCTTCAAGAAAAACAAGGACTGGTTTGATGAAAACAATCAAGAGATCCAGGAATTGTTGAGAAAGAAGAGAACTGCTCGCCAAGTCCACCTTGCTCAGCCTTCTTGCTATGTAAGAAAAGCAATTTTTTGTCTTGCATGCAATAAGCTCCCAACAGAAACTTGGAGACATCCAGAACAAGTGGTGGATCAATGTATCAGAAAAGATTCAATTATGTGCAGACTCGGGTGATTACAGAGGATTCTGTGAGGCCTTGAAAGCAGTGTACGGACCTGCACACCAGGTTCAAAGCCCTTTACTCAGTGCAGATGGCCAAATGCTTCTCACAGATAAAACTTCCATTCTGAATCGATGGTCTGAACATTTTCAGGCTCTTTTCAGTACCAACCGTGTAGTTCAAGGCTCAGCAATTCAGTACATTACACAAGAACTGGTGAAAAATGAATTGGATATTGCCCCCACTTGGGAGAAAGAAGATATTCTCCCCATTGGGAGAAACTCTTAAGGCCATACAGCAGATGAAACCTGGCAAGGCAGCTAGGGTTGATGGAATTCCACCTGAAGTCTGGAAGCTTGGAGGCCAAGCACTCCTCGCTAAATTTCACGAGTTCGTGCTGCATTGTTGGGAACGAGGCGAACTACCATCAGATCTTGATGATGCAGTCATCATCACTCTGTATAAGAAGAAAGGAGATAAATCAGACTGTTCAAATTACCAAGGTATTACTCTGCTCTCCATTGCTGGTAAAATCCTTGCAAGAATACTTTTGAACAGATTAATACTGACTATTGCAGAAGAACTTCTACCTGAAAGCCAATGTGGTTTCAGAGCCAATAGGGGTATCACAGACATGGTATTTGTTCTCAGACAACTGCAAGAGAAGTGTAGGGAACAGAACACAGGACTCTATGTAAACTTCACCAAAGCTTTTGATACTGTGAGCAGAAAAGATCTGTGGCAGATTTTGGAACGTTTAGGATGTCCCCCCAAGTTCCTCAAAATGATCATCTCGCTTCATGAGGACCAGCGCAGTCAAGTCAGATATGGCAATGCACTTTCTGAGCCCTTTCCTATAGCCAATGGTGGGAAGCAAGGCTGTGTTCTTGCACCAACTTTATTCGCTATCTTCTTCAGCATGATTCTCCGAAGGGCCACAGCAGACCTCGATGAAGACAACGGTGTCTACATTCGATATTGTTCCAATGGGAGCCTTTTCAACCTAAGGCGACTGAAGGCCCACACTAAGACCTTAAATCATCTTGTCCGTGAGCTGCTTTACGCTGATGATGCTGCCCTCATTGTCCACACAGAAGTAACTCTGCAGTGTTTAACATCCTGCTTTGCAGAGGCTATTGAGCTTTTTGGGCTGCAAGTCAGCTTGAAGAAGACAGAAGTTTTATATCAGCCTGCACCTCAGAAAATCTTTCATTATGCCCATATTGTCATTGGTGAATCAGAGCTCAAGTCAGTCCAGGAGTTTAATTATTTGGGAAGCATCATCTCCTTGGACAGTAAAATTGACAAAGAAATAGACAGCAGGTTAGCAAAGGCATATAGAGCTTTCAATAAACTCCACAAAAGAGTTTGGTGTAATAAACACCTGAAGAGAAGTACAAAGATCTGCGTTTACAGAACCATTGTACTGTCTACTCTTTTATATGGATCTGAATCATGGGTCATTTACTGCCACCACTTGCGTCTCTTAGAACACTTTCATCAGCGCTGCCTCCATACAATCCTAAACATCCACTGGACTGGATTATGTGACCAACACGTCTGTCCTTGAACAGGCAGCAGTCACGAGCATTGAGGCCGTGCTGCTGAGAACACAGCTGTGCTGGGCAGGGCACGTCTCCAGGATGCAGGACTGCCGCCTCCCTAAGATTGTGCTCTGTGGGGAACTTGCCACTAAGACCCTTAAGTTGATTTAGATACCTAATGTTACCAGTAACATCATAACTTTCAGGGGCAAAAGGGAAAAGTTAGCAAACATAGTTTAAAAAAATAAAGAAGGCAAAGCAAAGCCCAATCTTATTTCCTCTGTGATAGTTCTAGTTCCAAAACACTAAACTAATGATGTTGAAACTGCATTTTCTGAGCTGGGAATGTATTCTTTTACCATTTATTTCTGTAGTCCAGAAAAAAAGAAATGCATTTTTCCAATAAGCTTATTTACCATCTATTTCAACACTGCTGTGTTTTCTGTGCCTGATTAGAAGTGCATATGTACTTGATTTGACATTGGCAGTAACAGTCTGACAATAACATAACAAAAATTCATGGTGAATTAAATGATATTTTGGTTCATTTTAGTTCTGAAATTTATCTGTCAATCTATAATTTTAGCAAATAACAAGAATGTTTTTATATGAACATGCAGGATCTTGTTGCTAATCAAATATGTTAAGGTCACTCCTATGCAAATATTATCAGGTTTTGGAGGGTCTTTGCACAAAGCCTTTTACCACAAGCCCTTTTCTGAAGGTATTTTTTTTTCAGAAGTTAGAATCAAGTATTTACTGAGGGTTGTTGCTCTCTGCAGAATGCTCATACAACCTTTCCTGTTGTGGTGCGTTGATAATAAAGTCAGGTTTTTAAAGCATGACCTTTTCATGATTGTAACTCTCAAGCTAATTTATTCCTGCCGTTCTTTCCATAGGGCAGACAGGGTTTTCTTGTTCCTGTTATTTGTGTTGAATTTAGATATTTGTAGTAGCATTCGAATGCTTAAATTTGAATTTAAAGGTATTTAGTGTCATTCCTCTTTAATGTCATAAGGTGCAGTTATAACATGCAGTTAGTGTGCAGCCACTGTGTCAAGGGCTGTGTTTTTAACAATGTAAAACAATGCACATATTTGCAGATAACTTTACAAAATACAACTCTTTTTGATTTGTTCTGTTGAAGAAGTGGGAAGGTAATTAGAGTACATTACATCTGAAGTACTTACTTGATGCTTACAGTACAATTGTATATTTTGAAGGATTAATTTCAGAAGCCTCTGGGCTATTTCACAATAACTATCAGAATTTTCACACACACTGATCTCTGAGATCTTGAACTCCTTGAAGTTACTCAATGCCAGTCAGTATCTTCAGGTTATGAATTACTTTTTAATTAACGTAATTGATTTTTGACAGAAATTAAAGTATTGACTTCTTGAGGGGTTCTTGCTTGTGTATCAGACTTTTCCCAAGTATCCTCCAGAACTTGGGAAAATAAGAGAAACTCAAACTTAGTAAACAAATATGCAAGCATTACAAAATTTGATTCTTAATTATGTTGTCTTACACTTGGCACTTTGTCTCATTTATCATGTCTCAAGTGTAATTGGTTTCACAGTGTTTTCACATTCCCCTCTTCACAGACAAAGGAAGAAATAAATGAAAACAATGGTATCTTCAGCAAATGGAATGCCAGTATTTTCACTTGTACTTTAGGCCACTGACTAATGCTGCTTCTTAGGGGACTCTGTCAACATTTTGCCAACTAGGAGAGAAAAAAAGAAACTTTAGCAGTGAAGAGGTAGGTAAGAAATTAACCGTCTGTTTATTCTGTGTTATGTTTTGTTGCTAAGGAAGAGATTTGAAAAACGAAAATATCAAAGCTGTATTGGAAGTAGTTGAAATCTGTTTTTCTCCATTCAATAGTCAAATGCCATTTCCATGTATTAAAATACTCATCTTCAGATATTTTGAACTGTGGGATAAAAATAGCACTAAGTGCAAATTTGGACAGTGGCTTTTGTATGCACTTAGCTCCTGAACTCTGCTACTGCACAGTGCTGCCACTGACATTTCTGCTGCTGCTGTTTGAAGGTGGTTTTGTTAATACTTTAGCAAAACTGATAGGGCTTCATGTCTGTTAAGCCTTGTATCATAATTTAAATGGTGTATTTTGAGTCTTTAGAAACATTTGGCAGGTAAACTAAACCTGGAAGAGGCAGGTTATCTCGCCCTCTGAGTGATTGGTTGATACAAGGGACTCAGCATTTTCTGTGTGCTGATGTTACAATTCATCAAATATTTGAATAAGAGCAGAAGAGAAGGGATTTGGCTTGGCTTCACAGATGTCTTCGAGCTCTTCAAGAAAACAGTAGCTTGTCCTTGTTTCCATTTGTGCATGAGAGTCATAAGAAAGCAATTTAAAAAAATCAACCAAGTAAGGACATACATCTGGAAAATAAACTTAGTGCAAGATTTGCAATTAAAACATGAAAAATTTCTGCAGAAGCATCTGGCTAGTGTTACCTTGAGAGCCATGATGTGGGATTAGCCAAGCCAGTGTGGAGCAAATGCTTCCCTCCCTCCTCTTCCTCCCCTTGCTTTTCCACAGCAATTTCAGACTGCCAGGGTGTGATCAAGGGTTGTTCTGCTTTGGTTTGTCTTATTAAATTGTTGGCCAAGTACCTGTGAATCGAAAATGTAGCTGTGGCACTCGTGGGCCCTTGGGAATGTGGTATAAAGATGGAATTCTTTGTTGGAGGGCTTGGTTTTATTTTGTATTTCTGGCTCTGTATTATATAAGATGCTGACCAAAATCTAGTATATTAGAATATATTTGCAGATTAAAAGTTAAGCTTCTATTGTATGTGATGGTTTGAAAATTAAGAGGTAAAACCTTCTTTGAAAAAGCTCAGTAAGTGCTGGATTTTGGAAATATTTATGCTGTCATGCTGTATTTGTTTTAGTTATCTTAAATAAAAAAATATATAGCAATCAGGGAGTTGTTCTTTAATGTCTGCGACGTGTCTTTTGGGGGATTTTCATAATTGTGTTGCATATTTTAATATTTAAAGCAAAAAAAAAAATCAAATATCATTTGACTGTAAAAATATTCTTTTTCCTGCCAGAAGGAAAGTAATCTTACATTGTCAGCCTATCTTTGCTTGTTTGGAATTGGTAATCTTAACTAAATAAAACAACCTCTTAATTTTTTGTTTTGACTGAATTTTTCCTCATAGTCAAAAAAGTAAGATTATATCTGTCCATTGTTTTGTTTACTGTAGTGTTTATTATGGTATTGTTTAGAAGGAAGTCACATCTTTCAATAGGTATTGAAACCAGGTTTCTGATTAAGGTCAAGGTTAAATTTAAAGAAAGTAGGAACTTTGCAAAACAGCTCTGCTTATAAGCGATACAGGCTTCATTTGTGTGAGGCTGAACAAAACTCATTCTGCTGTTGTGAAGAAAACACCTTTGGCCATAAGCATTTGTAGTTTAAAAAACAAAACTTGTCTTCCTTTCACCAAGAATGTGGTGAGTGTTGAGATTTTTACTTTAAATTGCCAATGCAAACAGAGGGATCTTCATGCTGAGGGGACTTTCATAGAATCCTGAGGAACAGGTTTGGTTTTAAAAGTGATTTCACTCCACCCTTTCACACTTGTATCTGATGTAATTTTTTTTTAAAATCGTCTCCCAAACCCAGTAAGGGCACTGCACTTGGAACATTTCTGTCTTTCTCAGCAGGCAGTGCTGTCAAAGGTGGGAAAGCAAAAAGGTGAAGATGATGACATTATCCCAGGCTGAGGAGAGGGTTTAAACCAGGATGAATTTCCTGTACAGTTATGTGCAAATTATATTTGTGACACAAGTAAATGAGACCTCAGGAGAGAATCTGGTATTCCAGCAGACTCCAACACAATGTTCTGGAGACTTGGAGCTGTTTGGGGTTGACAAGGGGAGAGCCAGTTTTGTCTGTTCTGGTACTTCAAGGGTATTTACAGAGAAGATGGAGCCATATCATTCCTGGAAGTGTCTGGTGACAGGACAGTCATGAGAAATTCTGATTTGATATGAGGAAAAAGGTTGTGTGCTTTTTTTTTTTTTTTTTTTAATGAGGTTGGTTAACCAGGGACAGAAGAAATTTATGGGGTCTTCTTTTCTTGGAGATACCCAAAATTTGTGTGGACAAGGCTTGAGCCTAGTTTCCTTGACTTTGTTTGGTGTGGGGGTTACAGTAAATGACCACCAGGTGTCCCTAACTTATTTTTTTCTCTAATTCTAAGCAAAACTATAATAATTCTTGAAGAAAAACACACATCACGCATAGATCTGTCACTGTGTGCAGTTCTTGTGTTTCACTAAGCCTGCATTTCTGAAAGCTTCAATCACATTTGGACTACACTGAAGTCTCATATTGAACTCAAGTGTTTAGCCGTGCTTTTTACTTAGCAGAATTAAGAGTTGCTCCTGATTGTATTGCTTAATTAATTTTCAATATAATTTTCCTAAAAATAATCTGTAAACTTTTTAATTAATTGATTTTAATGGAATTGATGGCATGGAAGGGTAAATGGTTTTTCTACAGTAGAAACAAGCTAATTCTGCAGATGACTGAATGTTCAGAAACATTCTAACTTGTCTGTTTTTGGATATAGGGCATGATACTAAGAAGACAACTATTATTGTCCACATCAACTATTTATGAATCCTACTTCTAAAATTGGGGCTCTGGTGACACACGCAAAAAACACAAACAACGAAAAACCACAAAAACACACACACAAAACAAAACAAAAAAACACAAACAAAAAACAAACACGAAGTGCTACCTTTTTGCTAAATTTCAGCTTTATAATCATTAGATCTGTCTCTGGTCTAACAGACCTTCTGTCTTGCCCTGTAGCAAAGCTGCTGTTTCTGTTTTGTCAGCACAAGCAGTTTTCGAAAATAATTGCTGTTCTAAATTACATTTAAAAAAAATCCTGCTGGACATTGTTGTTCCCATCTCTGGCTTCCTTTTTGGAGAAGTAATTTATGCTCACAGTTCTAGTGGTTTCTGCTGCCAGGAAGAGACAAGGAATTTTTATAATTCTTGCATTCTGCTCATTAATTACATATATTGTGTATCAGACTGAGGCTTTGTTTGCACTTGGCAGGACTGCCGAGCTCCCAGATCTCTGAATGTAGAGCTGACCATAACCTTTTGTTCATGCTTGTCATCAATTTTTATGCAAGGTAATAACTATGTTCCATATACCTGGATTTTGCAAAAATTTACCTTAAGTATGATTGTGCTAGACCACACTATTGTTGGGTTGAGACAGCTTGTTCCTGTAGTAATGCTTTCTGTCCACAGACACAAATGGCTTAGAACTAACTCTGCTGAACAAGTCCAAACTATATTGTAACCATGTTTAGTAATAAACACACAAAACCAGTTTTGAACAAGTTGAAAATTTTATAAGGAGGCCAAAGGAAGCAGGCCATTGACTTTCATACAGTGTAATAACGTTCAAACTTTTCTTCATCAGTTCGAAAACCGATCCAGCTTGTGTGATTTTTTAAGATAAACCAAGGAAAGTATCATGGTAACAATGGTAACAATTTTGGTGAAATCAGTAGTTCATAATTTTACAAGCTTCACTGTGATCTCCTTAACCAGTGCAAGGCAACTTGTATACTTCAAAATAAATATTAAGCTGTGTTGAGAAATTGATAAAAAAATCATCACATTTACAGTTATAGTAAAAGCTTCAGCAATTTATAATAAACACTTCAGACTTAATTTTTGGAATTGGACTGTTCTAATTCACAGTATCTTCTAGAGAAAATTTCAAGCTTTGCACTTATGAATTAATGATGCTAAAGTGGTGCACTGGTTGAAAATGTGATGATTAATCACTTTGATGATAAATGTAAATGTACAACATCATTTGATAGTATGATGTTATGTGGTGCTGAACAGTCAATTAAATTTAGGGATGATTTAGGAACATTTTTGGGTTTCTCTTTCAAAATCTCACAACACAAATAATTGAAAATTGGTTCTAGTTACAGCTGCTGGAAATAAGTTATGAACTAGATTACTTTGTCTAGATTAACTGGGAATGGAGCTTTTAAAAATACAGTTGAATGTAAATGATGCATGACTTTTAAACTGTAGTTTAAGTCATATACAAAACAGTAAAAAAAGGATTATGCATCCTAAGGTGTAAGTTTTTTGTGTCTCGGTAGGAAATGGCTTCCAGGTTACTTGAAAGACTTGCATTCAATACTCAGTCTCTTTATCTAAATCCACTACATACGCATATATTCAGTTAAGTACTGTGACTTTTTTAATCAAGTAAAATGTTGAAAAAAATCATCATTTTCTGAACTAATTTTCAGCATGTGTTGCAGTATTGTGTTTTGTACTGTTGCACTCTAAATGTTAGAAACAGTGTTAAAATGAGTTATTAATGTATACTGTGGGCTTGCTTAAGCTGGGCATAGATACACTGTTTTGTAGAAACAAATATAATTGACTTCAGCTGCTTTTAACTATTTGCCTCAGGCTACTAAATTAGCTTTTCCATTCTCTGAATAGTTACCCTGACAAGAAGTCCCTCTTGTTTCCTGCTCTCAGTTCTTGCTCGACTGTGTGGATTGAGCTGTGTGACTTAACATTAAAATGAGATGGTGTGTGTTCCTTCCCACTCATAAAACATATCGCCCTATTCCAGGAAACACCACCCACTGTTGTTTCCAAGGCTCTGCAGGTCTTACGTAGGTAATTTAATTGTGATACAGTAATTAAAA